TATTATTTCTTTGACCTTGAATTTGCATTTTTGTTTGTTCAGTTTCAAACCTGCTCTGCAAGCTCTTTCTAATGAGTTTCTTAACCTCAAGTCATGTTCTTTCATAGTATTTCCCCAAACTAATACATCATCAGTATAAACAATAGTTCCAGCAAGACCTTCAAAAAGTTGTTGCACCTTTCTGTGAAATACTTCAGATACAGAACACAGTCCAAAAGGAAGCCTATGAAAGCAATACCTTCTGAAGGGTGCGTTGAAGGAACATAATCTAGTGCTATTCTTTTCTAGGAGATCTTGCCAAAACCCAGAAGAGGCATTCAAAGTGGAGAAATATTTAGCTTCTGCCACGTTGCCAAATCTTCCCTGGTGGGAATGGGAAAATGCTCCCTTTTGTCATACCTGTGGATCCAGACACAATCTCAAGGATCCATCTTTTTTTTTCTATTATGACCAGTGAATGAACCCAAGCAGTTGGTTGCTCTACTTTTTCCATTATGTACATGTTAACTAATCTATTTCCTTTTCCAGTTTCTCCCTTAATACAAGGGGAACATTTCTTGGAGCATGTGTGGTGGGAGTATTTGGTTCTCTTAATTCTATCTCGTACTCGGTTAACTGTTTCCCTATGCCTTGAAACACATCATAAAACTCTTCTTTTATGTTTTTACTTTCTAATCCCTCAATGGCATTTATTCTCTTAATAAAACGTAGAGTTTCACACGTTCACAACCCAGTAATTGGCACTAGGTTTCCTGGGACTGTTACAAACCAAATTTTTACTATATTACCCTTGTATCTAGGATACAGTGTACAAACACCCTTGGTTGCAATCAAGTTCCCATTATATGCTCTAAGTCTCATTTTCTTATTCTCATCATACACAGATTTAGTTTTCATTTTTGGAATAATGTATTCTGGTATTAGATTGACCTGTGCCCCTACATCTAATTTAAAAGTTACCATTAGTTCATTGGTGTCCACAGTGATTACCCAGTCCTCAGAAGAATGAACTTCTTGCATTATGCCAATGAGGAATTCTTCCTTTTCCTCATTACATAGAGCATGCACTCACTGTTTCTTCTGTGTTGCATCCTGCTCCTTTCTGCAAACTCTTGCTAAGTGATTGAATTATTTGCATTTGTTGCAGTGCTTACCAAATGCAGGGCATTGCATGGATTTGTAGTAACTCCCACAGCATCTGCAGCTGACCATTGTTTCTTCAAGCAATTCTCTTTGGCCTCTGCTTGCCTGCTTCATAGTGAGGTGCTCCTTTCTGTATTGTTTGTGTGGTTCCTTAGGTTTTTGAAGTCTTGTAATCCTGTCTATTTCAGCTTGTTCGGTTTTTTTCCTCCAGATTCTGCAGCCTGGCATTTGTTATCTCATCTGCTGGGCACATTCTAACTGCCTGTTCTAAATTAAGCTCAGGATCCTCTAGCAGTCTTTTCCTGAGGCTTGTATCCCTTATACCCTATGCTATTTGGTCTCTGATCATGGACTCTTTTAGGTCTCCAAAGTTGCATGTCTGGCTCAGCAGTCTGAGGTCTTTGACAAACTCCTCTTTTGTCTCACATTCTTTCTGCTGTATCATGAAAAAATTATACTGTTCATAAGTTTTATTCTGCTTAGGTATACAATATACCTCAAACCTTTTAATCACTGTGCCATAGCTTTTCTGTTCTGCTTCTGACAGTTGTAGGCTATTATAAAGAGAGAGAGCTTTTAGGCCTGCTATATTTAAAAAAAATAACTACCTTGAGTGACTCTTTCTTTTCTGTAGCCCCACTGGCTGTTATATATATGGTGAAGCTATGCTTACATTTCTTCCAGTTTTCTGCTGCATTGCTGGACAGCTTTAATTCCTCTGGACTTCTGAGATGCTCCATTTTTTCTTTCTTCATACCCCACTTCTGGTACCATATGTTCTCAAAAGTTAAGCTTATAGAATGATAAAGCTTGTTTATTCTTACAGCAGTACCTTGCCTACAGTTCTGCTGTTCCCTCCTCCAATCCCAGGGCAAATGTAACAACGTATAACCTCTTAAAGGTATCCACACATCTCTTGCTGGGCCATGGAGCCCACTCCTGTTCATGCCAGTCCAGCCAGGCTGTAGCCCTGTGCTTGCTGTGGGTGCACAAATCGGGGGGGAGGCATGTGCCACCCCCCCATGACCCAAACCTCCTGTGCCACACACTGTGGGGCTAAGGCTGGGAGGTAGGGGGCAGCAGGTCGGGAGTGAGGGACACCAGCAGGGCTGGGGGGATTGGGGGTTGTGGTTTGGGAGTGAGAAACTCTGGCAGGACCCAGAGACTACAAGTTGGGAATGAGGGGCACCAGCAATTTTCATTGTGCAAACTGCACAATGATGAATGCCATTTGGGAGTAATGGAGGATCACGTGTTGATATAGATTTCATAAACATTCAGGCTGGAAGGGACCCCGGAGGATCATCAAGTCCAGCCCCCTGTCCCAGGGGCAGGAAGTCAGCAGGGATCATAAAATCCCAGCAAGATAAGCATCCAAGTGTGTCTTGAAGGTGTTCAAAGTGGGTGCTTGAACCACCTCCAGCGGCAGTCTATTCCAAACCTTGGGGGCTCGGACAGTGAAGAAATTCTTCCTTATACCCAGCCTGAATCGGTCACAGCGGAGTTTGTGACCATTTGATCTTGTCATCCCTTGGGGCACTCTGGTGAACAGACGTTCCCCCAGATCCTGATGAGCACCCCTGATAAACTTGTAGGTGGCCACCAGATCACCCCTGAGCCTGCGCTTTTCCAGGCTAAAGAGCCCCATGGCTCTCAGCCTGTCATCATAAGGTCTGTTTTCCTGACCTCTGATCATGCGTGTGGCTCTCCTCTGCACTCTCTCAAGCTTCTCCACATCCTTTTTGAATTGCGGAGCCCAAAACTGGATACAGTACTCCAGCTGCGGCCTCACCAAGGCCGAGCACAATGGGAGAATGACATCCCGGGATTTGCTTGAGAAACATCTATGGATGCAAGCCAGCGTTTTGCTCGCTTTACTAGAGTGAAGAACTTTGCATTTATTGGTGTTGAACACCATCAGGTTCTCATCCGCCCATTTCATGGGCCTGTCAAGATCTGCCTGGATCACCCGCCTGTCTTCAGGTGTAGATGCTTTACCCCAGAGTTTAGTGTCATCCGCAAACTTGACCAGTCCGCTTCTGACACCACTGTCCACATCATTGATAAAGATGTTAAATAGTATAGGCCCTAGGACAGAGCCTTGAGGAACCCCACTGGTGACCGCACACCAAGACAATTGGCTCCCGTCAACCACCACCCTCTGGGTCCTACCGCGGATCCAATTCCCCAGCCACCGGATTGTGGTGAAGTTGAGGCCGCGGTTAACCAGTTTTGCCAAGAGGTGATCATGGGATACCAGATCGAAGGCTTTTTTAAAATCAAGATATATGACATCAATCTCTTCCCCCTTGTCCAGGTGATAGGTCACCTGGTCGTAAAAGGAAATGAGATTGGTCAAGCAAGACCTACCTGCAACAAACCCATGCTGGGTATCCCTCAAACCCATGCTGGGTATTGCTGTTAATGTTTTCCTGTTGTTGTTTTCTGTCTTTAAAATTAAGACTGTTGAGCTGCTTTAACTTGTAGTGTATAATACGTATTTGGGGGCCAAAATACTTGTGTGTTTTCTGCTTAAACTATTTACTGGGTTAGTACTGACCTTCAATGTTTACAAATGGGTCCTGGTACAAAAAAGCTTGAGCACCACTGCTATGCAGCAAGGTGGGCTAATGGTCCTTTCTGACTCAAATACTCTGTGAAATGCCCTATCCATCACATTTCCTGACAGTTGAGTGCTCTGGACAACATATGTGCCGGCACAGCCTCTGTTCCCAGAGTTACATCCAAACTCTACAGTCAGGCCTTTTCAGACACCCAGCTTTTGGGGAATTGGTTTTATTCGTATAACTCCGGATAACAGGGCAAGTCAAGTGCCCTGAGGACTTCAGGAAAAGGCTCAGCTTTCACCAGTGCCAGATCTTCCAAGGATCCTAGCAGCCTGGCTTCACATTGGTCATAAAAGTCTGTCTGAGTGCTTAGAAATCCACTCCTGAGCATGCAAAGGCTTCCTCAACCCTTGGCCTCTCAGGTGTGATGGCTGGCAAAGGGCTCTTTCAGTGCCAGTTGTGATGAGGCACTGGACTGAGACTTGCTCAACTCATTGCACACACGCCAGCACACAACCCTTATTCAGGGCTGTGCTGGATGTGAAACCGCAGGCTGGAGTCATTACACTGCAACATCAAACTGCGGTGTCATTCAGGGACAGAGTTGCACAAAGAAATCTGTACAAGATAGGCATTAACTCCTCAGTTGCTTCCTGCTCTCATTGGTCTCTTGGGGATCTTCAGTGGATATGAGGGGCAGAGATAGGGGAGATGCCACCCAGCAGTGATGGGTGTCAGTGGCGCCCCGCTGCCTGCACCAGGAGCAGAAGGGGAGACTCTTCAGATGTGCCTGCCTGGAGCCAGCGGGAAGAGTTAGGTGCACGATCCCCACCATCAGGTCAGAGCTGTTACAAGGATGGGAAGGCTAGAGGGAAAACCTGGAGGTGTCATTCAGCTCCACATTAAGAGCTGTTCCCTGCTAGAAGTGGGGGGCCCTACAGCATCTACCCGGGGACACCGAGCCCAGCAAAGCTTCCTGACGCGCAGCCCAGCTGCATACAGCCCCGGCTGTGAGGGCAGCTAGGGGATATCCCCCGCTTGGAGGTGGGCTTAGGTGCCAGCTGCCCCTATAGACAGGGCCCCTCACAGCCTGGGGTGGGGGCGCGGGTTGAAGCTGGGTGAGTGCCTGAGCCCAGGGGCGACCTGGGGCAGCTGCTCTGGGGGATGCCTCCCTGCAAAGCGAGGGGTGTCAGCGGGGGCAACCCCCCGCCCTAGGGGCCGGAGCAGCGGGCTCTCAGGGGCCCGGGCTCCGAGGGGGCAGCAGGGATCCCGCCGGGACGAGGCGCCTACCCAGCTTCTTGAAGGCTCTGCCCAGGCGCCGG